TTCTTGTTTCAGTAATTGAAGCCAAATTGGATTGCGTGACATGATTTCCAACAGCATTCTTGCTGTCCGTTAACAATGGATCAAACAGATCTGTCACGCTGTCCTTAGCAGCTTCTTGGGCGTTAGCTTGTTTGACCGGGCTTGATTGTGTGATATATCCTCTTTAATGGAAAACAAATCATCTAATTCAGATTTAGTACCCTTATCTCTTTGATTTGTAGTCTGGTTTTTTCTAAAGGTGTCACTCCCACTTAAAAGATCAAGTCCTTGGAACACATCCGTTACTCCCCTAGAAGATTTCATCTCTGGAACAGTTAAGTGTTGGAATCAAACAGTGCTGATACTGTAGTGGAGTCTGTTTGCTGTACATGGAAAAGAAAAAGTAAACTACCTTTAGTTTATGAGCTTTTAGTTGCTAATTGACCGAATATTTTTTGTCTTACCGAATGTGAACTCATTCCAGAAAATAGAGCAAGACTTTGATCTGCTGTTGACTGAAGTCTACAGTGTCTCCAACCTGCAAGATACAAAGAGACAAAGATTACCAACTTAACAGTCAGAATCGAAGGGTGAATTCAACTTTAATTCATCATGGTTAAAAAGAAAGGATTGTTAATGGATACACTGTCCTGAGGAGAAATTGTACTGTTAGTGTACCTAATCATTTGTGGATCCTCTTAAAGGTTTGCCTTTGAAATTTTTCTTGCCTCTTAAATTGAGGTCACATAGGACTGCGCAAAATGATCTCAAAAGGAATTATTATATTGGCTGCTTGGCTTTAAACTTAGAATCCACTCTCATCAAAATAAGAACCAATATAAAGAAACAAAAATAACAGTAATAATAATAATAATAATAATAATAATAATAGTAATAATAAATAAAAGAGAAATAGATCATCAGAGGTATAAACCTGACATGGTCAGTCTAGAGTTTATAAAACTTACCACTTGGACATCTCTTTCTTCAACTAAGACTTGGACATCTGCAAGGAAACAAAATCAAGCTTTGTAGAGTTCAATGCTAAATAAGTTCAACCTCAAATTATCAAATGCATCTACACTGTATGTGTTCTACATGAAGTACAACTATGATCTTTAACTCTTGGACTCATCTGTTGTGTATTCATTTAGAGGAGACACTCACTCTTTAATTACCTTCTATATTCTGTCTTTATTCATCAATCAACTATCTAATAAGCTGGTGCAACCATGTTACTTGATTAAAGTCCTTTAACATCATTCAGTAGTCCCACAGTGATATAACTAACATTGGTTTAACCCTTCAACTCCCAAGATCTCATTAGTAATTCTCCTTACTGTCTGCCACACAGTTCTTATGATGTTAGTTTGGATAATTATGTATTGTATCAACTTACAGTCCTCTAACTGATATTTTTCTTTATTTTCACCACTTGTCTGCTTGATATTGTATTGATATTGTAAGGAGAAATTCTGTCTTGGTCACTCATGGGAGTTAAAGGGTTAAGTACTTTTACTATGTTCTGAATACACTACACTACCTTAGAGAGAGTTACCTTGACTACTTGGAATAATAAGCTGTTTCCTTTAGTTAAAATACATGACAAGGGGAGGGGGGGTATTATCATTAGGATAACCCTACCCCTAAGGTGACCTGGCCTAGGATATCTCTAAGGTCAGGGTGGGGTTATCCTCTGGGTATTGGGAGCCTGGAAAGATCACAGATGGGAGCACATAGTACTGATTTCTCAATTTGTGTTTTTGTTTATTATTCCATCTCTTGCAAATACTGATTACCACTAGTTCATTCCTTCTGAAGGTTGTCACAATGATTTAGGCCAAAATCTATGATCAATATTATATGCATTATGCTTACATTTCTCATTTCCCTCTTTTTCTCTTTTTGGATTCAGTAAATACAGGATCTAAGTAAAAACAATATATTGTTTCTGTCCCTATGTGAATGATGCATATCTACACACATGATATTTCACTAAACAAATCATTCCTCATTAAGTAAATTAATCTGATCCACTCACCTTTGTAGCCTTGGATAAAATACCATTTTCTGATTTTGTAATTCCTTCCAAATTTGTGCAAAATCGAGTCATTCTTGAGGCCTCACAAGGAATATCACTCTTCAAAAGGTGCTCCAAAACATGTAGTGACTTCTGCAAAAATAAAAAAAAATTTGAAGTCTATAACTTTAAAAACAAAACAAAAAAATTTAACCACAATTTCACTTTAAATAGAGCCCCTTAAATTCATAAATTAAACCATCCCAAATTTGAAATGGTACTTTAGTTTTGTGATCTAAATAGTATAACCCCTCCAATAAAAATAGGCATGGTAAGAGTCTTTCACTTGCTAATCATATGACAAGCAATTATGGTGTCTAAGCATTACAAAAAAAAATTTATCCAAACTGGGATAAGCTTGAAAAAGAAAAAGGAAGGTCCAAATTTTGTTTTTGAGCGCAATCCATTCAAGTTTATTATATTTGTTTTGCTTATTTGTTTGAGTAGTTTAGAGTTTGGCAGTGATATCCTGGTATGGATCTGCTGAAATAAACACACAAAGACTAGTCCACAACAAGACTAGTCTTTGCACCTTATTCTGTGATGATTAATATGATTTTGCTGTAAGGAACTTGTATAACAAAGCTGCCACAGACCAACACATTAACTTATGAATTAAAATTGTGGAGGTAAATTGAACTGAAATTATGGAACTCAATTAAGTCAGTGCCATCTTTTAATACTGTTAAAATCACCATCAGAAAATTTGACCAGTTAAGTCTATCTTGATTACATTTCTTTTAATTAAAAATAACATTAAGATTTCTATTTACTTGTGGCCTTTCTTTATAGTTATTGTATTAAATTCTTTTAACTTTTCATAGAAATGTTATTTCACAGTCAAAACAGTTTACATTTATTTACTCCATTTTAATTTGATCTTCTGTGCCATAACTGAAAACTAGCTTGTGAGTGTTCCTCACAGTAGCTAAATGTATTTACTCAATAAACCAGTATTATGCAAGGTCCCCTCTAAGTCATACCAATGAAAATACAGGAGAAAAGTTCTTTGGTTTAGACTTCTTGTCCAAGAAGATCAGAATGTCCAACGACTTGTTGAGGTCATTTAAAAGACTGCACATTCCACTCAGTAATTTTAACCACCAAAGTTTTCTCTGGTTTGGGACTAAAACCCTTGGCCTCCTACATGTGCCCCACTTTGTCTTTTAAATGTTTTCCTATTATACCATTATCATAATTATAATATACTGATCTTTAAAGATAATTTTGTAAGATGGACTGGCCATTTCTGAAATTACCTTGAATTTTGAGCCCAGTCTTCCCCATACTGTAAAGTAATTACAGGGTTCTTACTCTTTTACAAGAACACATTTCAAGGACTTTTTCAGGACTTTTCCAGGACTCAGATAGATATTTCCAGGACTCCAAATCTGACCTTAAACCCTTTCATTCCCAAGATTTCGACTTCAATTCTCCCTACGTTCTAAAAACATTTCTTACAAATGTAAATTGTGAAATATTTATTGCTTAACCCTTTAACTCCCAGGAGTGATTAACAAGCAACCTCTCCCTACAATAACCATACATTATCCAGCAGACTAGTATTAAGAATACCTTAAGTTAACAAGTAGAAGTTGTTGTCTTGATCTAACACAAAATTCTTGCCACTGATTTACAAGGAAATGTGCTAGCTTAGAGGGGAGAACTAACAGTCACATCTTGGGAGTTAAAGGGTTAAATTTGGCAGATTTTCAGGTCTTTACAGGACCTGTAGTCTTTTTCCAAGACCAAACAATCAATTTCAATTAAGTTGTTAGTTTGACCATTATGCATGTGGAAAGTTCATCCTTGTTTAAAGCATTTAGCTCTGTTCTCATTTAATTTGCTACCAATCTACTTGTGATATGGCATATTATCTCCACCCAGATGATTGATTGTGATTGAGTGATTGAGTCTATAATAAGTTCCTGCCCCAAAATATAATTAGTAAATTAAAAAGAAACTATGTACTCAACACACCTAGTGTAAATTTAAACTGTTGTTGTACTCCTGGTCCTATAGCCATTGCATGCCAAATGACTCTTCTCCAAACCCAATACTGGCATTCTCAATTAATCCTGATAGTGTTCAATGCAGTCGAATTTGTCGTGGTTGGGAACAAAGCAGTAGTTCAAGTGGTTTATCTGAGAGTTGCACATTGTGCAAACAAAGCAGCTTTTGTAAAACACATGATTTTCCACTGCCACATGTTCAAGAATGTCCACAGGTCTGCTACATTTTGGTTGGTCTCACCTGTTTGTCTGAATTACAGAGCTGTTGGTAGTACTGCATGGCATTTTGATGGCTACCCTGCAAAACAAGCAACATTACTTAATGAAACAAAAAGTATGCACATAACTGCATGTTTGAATTGTCATCTACCAACTGAAGTAAGAATATTAAATAAAATGCAGAAAGATGTCAAAAAGTGTATTGAACAAGTTCTAATTAATCTTTAAAACTAACATTTCCTGGTGGGTCAACCTCATGATCAAAAGTTTCTTTATGTCAAGCCAGTTCAATTTTCCTTGTCTCAACCCTATAAATGTACTTTAAGACAAACAAAAACTTACACAACTTAAACTGGTTATAAATCTTACACCAAAGGAAAATGTCAATCACAACTTATGCAACCAAAGAAATAGTAAGTATGTAAACAACATGAAATAGTTCATTGATTGTTTTAAATCCCTTTGATGCGTAAAGGTTCTCTTCCAATTTAAGTCTAATCTAATCTAAAATTAAAGTTTTTCAGACAAGTTGATCAGGTTTGGGCAGCTGCTCACCAAACACAGTGGATGATTCTATTGAAAGACTTCTCACAATGGAAATAAACTTGACATTCAAAATTTCTGTGAGAAGCTTAATAAATCACCAAGTTTGTCTGCATTAGTCACCTAAGAAATCCGGTCTTAATTTTTGCTGGTTATCAGATCCTCCATAACTGTTATCCAACGTGTCACTAGCTTAGGCTGATTACATCTGCTAATAAAGAAAAATAAAAAAGTATTATCTCACTTAGAGATATCCCTTCTAAACCCAGGATACTGTTGTTATCATCCCTAATGTTGGCTGCCTTAGTGTAATATAAAAACCAACAATTCAATTTTGTGATCTCATAAATACAATTTTAAATGAGTAAGGCTTTTATTACAACTTCCACTACAAGCAGAACCCACCATGGTTACAACATTATACATAAAAAACAATGTTTATTTTTTGTTTGCTCATACCAGTTGGAGCTTTTTAGATTAATTTGCAAATTAAATGTAATCTACAACCAAAGCTCCAAGAAAACATCAACAACCACCCACTGTTGGAAATGAACCAACAAAACTTTTTGTGTGTGCCTGTGCATACATGAAAAAGTTCTTTGGGTGATTACCCCCACTGGAAGTTCTATTTTAACCATATAAATCTAAATCTTTGAATCTACTTTTTCCCTACCTCCCAATTTCTTATGAACCTTAAGCATAATGCAATTCAGCAGTCTTCTCCTTTCAGATCAAACTCTTGTTACAAACTACTACTAGTGACAAATCTGAGAGCATGAATCTAGTTCAATTTGTGAAGGAAAATCAACTTCCCCTCCACCTTTCTTGAAAACACACTTACATTGGCAAGCTTCTCTTTTTTCTGTCTTGCTGTCATACACTGTTTGTAGTGCCATCTAAGCTCTTTTACAAGTTCCCCCCTGTCATCTACTGATTTCCCTGAACTTGCACTAGATTTTCCACTAAAAACTGAAAAATAAAAGTTGGAAAAGGTGAAATGCAAATGTTCATCAAAATGAAAATGAAAGCTCTCTATAAAGACAGTCTTGGAGACGGACATCTTATATTTAAACCCACCAGATCAAAACCCCCTTCAAACTTTCACACAAATATTGTGTTTTCCATCTGTTGACAATGGCTTCAATAATGAAAAAAACATAAGTTGTTTGTGCAAATTACATTTGAATTCACACAAAAAAACAGGAAAAGAAATTTTAGAATTAAGAGTACCTATAAAAAAGATGTTTTTTTTGTCTTGTCAGAAGCATGGGACAAAAGAAAAATTCTGAGTCCCAAGAGGAATC